TGGAAACTCCCTTTTTGAGATCTTAAAGTAACCACTCACGAATCGCGTGATTTTGCGACCGCACTTTAGTCACGTGGCGTTTCACAATATCCATTCTTTTTCCTAAAATTGTAAAATAATTGGGTTCGCTTCAAAAATTATTATTACATCTTTATTTCCATTATTTTCTCTACTTTTTGTCTCTACTCTATATTTTACTCAGTGTAAAATACATTTACATTGACAAAAATTCTTTATTTGCGTCGAATTTAATGTAATTTGATACGGAAAACACAAAAAATTAACATATCAAATTTCAAATCGCTGTAATTTATTCCTGTTTCACCGATTGCCATCAGTTTCTTTGTAAATGGAGAAGAAATATTACGCTATCAAGTGAAGTGAGTAGAAATTTCGCACTACTGCGAGTAAATTTGTCAACGGACCCCGCGTTACCCTCTACCATGAAAGTCAATAAACGTTAATTGTTTCATGACTCTACTTCAAGCACTTTTTTCTAAGTTGTAAATCGACTAATTACAAAGGTTTTCATTCATTTTACTGATAAAAATGTTTTAAATATTTAACACATAGTGTTGTTAGACCTGAATATATTAATTTTATTTTTAATTTTCAATGTGAAATAGTCGTGTGTTAGGTCTAAATCGATCACCTAATACACAAATGAACATCGCTAAAAATATTACAGAAACCATTAAATATTTTTGCTGATAGTTTAGATATAAATAATTTCTGTACATTAAATGAAGCAATGAAAAAAATAATGGGTGCACCATCAAAAATCCGTGATCCTCGTGCACTAAAAACATTATTTATTGCAATTTTTGCAGCTCGAGAAAATTAGAGAATTTTTTGAAAAACTTTAAAAAAATTTCTTCAAAAATATCGGGAAAAATGCTGCATTTACATGAAAATTCTTTCGGAAGTACATAACTGAAAATATGTAATAAAGTTCGGTATTCGAAATTTATAAATATATTTATTTAAAAATTTTAATCATTAATTTACAAAAATACAGTTAATTACAGAAATGTCCTTTCCAGTATCTGTTCGGTACTAACGGTTGATTGTCCGATTTGAACAAAGCAGAATTAAATGTTATCTTGAACGATTAAACTCGAAACAATAGCAGATTAAATTTCTTTAATAATCTGTTTCGCTTCAAGATACTATCGATTAGTTTCGTATATGACAATCAAATTGTTATTTAAATCACAACCGTGACTTCAGCTTTATCTTAAAAATGACTTCATATTTATTACTTTTCTTGTATTGTTCCGAGTTTTATTTGTGACGAATAATAATATCGACATTGTGTAATACTCGACAATCAAAGGTAAGAAGACTATAGCGAAAAAATCGAAATACAATAAGCTATTTACTTTTTATATTAGTAGTAGTGGTTTGGACAACACTGATCACAAAATTAATTTTTTGAGTAAATTAATATCGAATAAATTAAAATTGCAAATAAAAATTTGTTGAATGAAATTATTTCAGATCACAAAATTTTATTTTTGTGATCGAAAAATTAATTTTGTGATCTGAAATAATTCAATTCAACAAATTTTTATTTGCAATTTTAAAAATTATTTGTAATTTTAATTTAATCGACATCTGAAATTAATTTTGTAATCAGTACTACTCAAACCACTACTACTCTTATTATATCTCTTCTAGTGATATATTCATTAGGAAAGAAATGGAGAAACAAAAGAAAACAACTGGAAAATATCTGTCTTCCTCAGCATCTGGAGGTAAGTAAATGTTTTAAAATATCTTTTAAAAAAATAAAAAAGACGTAATCGTTTCCAAGAACTTGGGCGTTCATCATATTTCCTTTAAATGTTTCTTAGTAAAAACTTCAGACGACCTGACCTTTCTTTTTAGGCTACGTGGCCGTCCTGGGAAAAGTTCTTTACAGCATAGAAACGAACCAATTAAAAAATAATAATCTATTAAAAATTGGATTTAATGACTTTACGACGTCTTGCTTTTTTTATCCTTTTTTTCGGAGGTGTTCGGAGGTTTAATTGGTTTGTTTCTGTGTTTCAAAGAACTCACCCAAGTTTTTGGAAACGACTACGTTTTTTTTTTATTTTTTTAAAAGAAAATTTTATCATCTAGCGAAAATCTAAATTAAAAAGTTTTAAAATATCGTTAATCTAACAAAAAAAAAACTTTATAACAGTCATCGTTTAAGTACTTTTTTCTGGTTTTTTATGCCGGATTTGAAAATACTAAACTTTTGCAAACTTTTTCTGCTTAAAATTATAATTTGTAATGCTTAGTTGACAATTTCTTTTAATAACTGCAACGTATCTAAGACATATCTAAATGAAGAGTGTTTTTGTGTTATTATTTTTTAAGTACAGTAAACCCCCTATAATACCACCGTTTTATATGAATTTCGTGTTTCACGAGTCACTGAAATACATGAGCCAATCACAGTCTGTCACGTATGCAGTTTAGTGACTACGGTGATTGGCTGTTTGAAAGGTTTTCTTCTATCAAATGAATCAATTCTAGACTAATTTGACTCAACATTTCCAAAACACGTATAATTTTTTGGGAATAATCCATATAAACTATGCTATAAACAAAAAATTGTAGGATTACTTACCGAGTGTGCACCGTCCGACGACACCATTGCTTAAGATTGTTTTCGTCGCGAAGCGGCGCGTCGAAAGGCTGGCGCGTGTTTTCAAATAGATTATTTTTTTTCCGAAAAATTCGCTGAACTTTGGAGACATCATTAATATAAATATAATTTTTATGGCCGTTAAATAATAAATGGTTTTTAATAAGTTCGTTGCTTGTTTAAACTCAACGGTTTGTTCGATATCCGCTATTGGTGTAGATTCGACAAATTTTGTTGGTACCCAAGTCGGCGATGACGTTTCACCGTATTATATGAGTCTGTTTTAGCGTGTTTATACGAATACGATCGCAATTTTTTCGCTGCTTTATACAAATCCGTATTATATGAACCCGTTTTATAGGGGAATCTACTGTATTACTTGCTTTGTTTTGCGAGGATTAATATTTATCCTTATTGGTTTATTAATTAATAAAGATCTAGTCGGGCTGTAACTGCATTTATCATTACTTTTTATTTTTCGGGTGTAATAAAAGTGATTTGTAAGTAAATAATTGGTCCTGACGCAGTTGACTAAAACGTTAAGATAACGATTAAAAATGGTGAATATGCCGGAATATCAGCCGTCATTAAGCAACGAATTATTGTGATTAGTAGAGTGGCTCCAGATGCCTTCCATGTTGTGTTAGTAATTGGAATTAATGATAGTTAGATCTTCGGAGGTTATAAAATTGATCTTAACTGTGTTTGTAGATTGCTATTAGGGAGGTCGTCTGTTTTCTCGTTGATGTCGATACCAAGGTGGGCGGGAGTCCACCTTGGTATCGACATCAACGACAAAGTGTATGTGCTTCTCGTAGCTGTAGTGAATGTGTAGTTTGTTATGGATGCTGCGGGATAGTTAAGGATTTGTCATTGTACATGTTTAAGGCGGAGAAGATGGATTTAGAATCGGCACTGGTACTGCTGCAAAGAACGGCACTGGTACTGGTACTGCACTGGTACTGGTACTGCAAAGAACGGCACTGGTAGGTCTGTCGGTAACATATGTGATGGCCTGCAAGATGGCGTTACCGTTGTCGGTAAAGATGGTGGAATTCAGGAACTGGTTGCTTAACTTTCCACCAGTCGACTCTTAACAAAAACTTTAACGTACAAAATTTATGATGTAATTTAAGTCAATTTTAGAACAAAGATAATAAGATGCTATTTATGCAGAGTGACAAGTCGCTAAAATTCTTTACATTATTTATGATGTAAAACGAGTACGCAGGCCGTTGCTGCACTTCATAGTGCTCCTAGTTTATTGAAGTACTACAATACAAGCGAACAAAATTTAGCAATAAAAGTAGTTTTTACAACTTAAAAAATAGCTAATAATTTTTCCAAAATATGTATTTTGCATATTCTAATATTGTTATGAAACTTATTTGTACAATTGTTGTACAATAGATATTGCTTGTATGAATAAATCGAATATAACGAAATGAAAACAAAATACTTTTATGATATACGATACATAGTTGCGATACATATTGAGTTGCAATTCGAAATAAGTGTAGGCCTATAAATTCCTACTGTCGATTGAATGTCTGTCTCTCCTTCCTTAATTTCAAGGAGATGAGATATACGATAAACCAGATAAGCCGTTAAACTCCTACGCACATCTTGCCCTGAACAACTATAAAAGAACGTTCGGTGAAAATCGGAAGTTATATTATTTCAATTCAAATATTTTTTTTTGAAAGGTATTATATAGATGATCGGCACTGCTGTGTTGTTAAAGGAAAAGTATCATGTACAGGGGCAAGCACCACAAATTTGAATTGGAGGGCATATACAGTCGACACCCATATAACACGGTTGATAATTCCGTTTTATATGAATTCCGTTTTGTACGAGTAACTTAGTTTTTACAATAACGTGAGCCGTTCACAGACGGAAACACGAATTTGTAAAATCTAACTGTATTTTAAAATATATAAATTAAAATTATGAAAAAAGTAGCTGCTCTGCATTCTGACAATGTCGCAATAATGGTTGCTCGTTATCAACTTTTATTTTTAAGACACATTAATTTTTCAGAAAATGAAGACGATAGCCAGGAGTTAAAAATTAATATTCCATCGATGTCCTGTTTACCAGTTTTGTGGAACGTTCTATTTTTTCAACGTGACCAGCAATACCACAATTCATACATGGGGATATGTATGTCAAAATATTTTATTGGGTAATTTCACTGTTTATAAATACATAAGTATTTTTCGTATTTTTTCAGTTACATTAAATTTATTGACTGGAGTCTCTATGCTATATCCAAACGAGAAAGTTGCCTGCCTCAACATATTTGGATATAAATTTATTTTTTTCTTACATCCAGAATCTGCAAAGGTAGTCAAACATGCCTAGTTATGTAATAAATTCAATTCGAATAGAAATATACTGTATTACTTTTCACAGGAAGTGTTAAGAAGCAACAGTTTAATCAATAAGAATTTTATGTATGATTTCTTTAAGCCACTTCTCGGAGACAACAGTCTTCTGTACAGGTAATGCATTATTTGATATATTTTTTTAAGTATCGTTGTTTACATTTTTCTGAATTTAATTAAAGTTCTGACGATAATTGGAGAAGAAGAAGAAAATATTTAGCTCCACATGTACAGGTTTGGAATGTGAAAGATGATAAAAACGTATTTATGGAGCATTCAAACATCTTAGTGGAAAAACTCAAACAATTGCAGAAAAATGAAATATTCGATATCCTGAAATGGATGCAATATTGCACTCTTGATATAATTGCAGGTATCACTCTCTAATGTAAAATATTTAATTAAGAATTATAAATATCAATTTGTTCATACGTGAACATTAAATGAAAGATTTATTTTTTTAACTTATTGCTCATCACGTAGAAGAAGTATGAAAAGAATTTAAAAAATAATAATAATATATATACATATATATGTCACTGCAACGAAAGTAAGCTACTGAACATCCCTTAACGAAACCAGCATTGGACTGGGGCAGGAATTCAAACAGTTTTTTTTTATCACTTACACGTTTCCTGGTAATTAAATTTTCGTGTAAAATTCTGACACACTGGACGAATCCTTTTTTTGTGTAACTGCCATTTTTATTAACACTATCCCTGTATAGAGAGAGTAGTTAGAACTAAAGTTGAACATAATTAATTTTGAACGGCCTAACTGATCACTTTCCTGTTTCTTCCAGTAGTGTTTTCTTCTAGTGTAACTAATACTTTGTTTTGCCATGGCTTCCCGAAACTGAAATATCATTTTTAAACGACGTACAGGTAACTCTCGTATAACACGGGAGTTACGTTCCAGAAATTTACAGTGTTATGCGAATCCGTGTTATACGAAACAAATAACTAGTGCAAAATGACGGGTTAGGTTCCAAAAATTAAAAAAACATGTTGTTAAATCCTTATTTAAATCGAATTTATTATTCATTTTTTCATAGGTAAAATACTTAGTTATTACTTAAGTAAATATTTTACCAGAGGATTATTCATTTTTTTATGATGATCTCAGCACGAGCATCATCAACTGGTAACAGTTTGTGATTCGTTCGTTCGTTCGTTAATAGCGGTCGCTCTGCAACGAGAGTGCGCCGCTGTATCTAGGCATTTAGGAACGACGGTGAAAGAAATATGGCGGCGCCCGCACTATCGATGGTATCGTGTGGAAAAATCTGTAATTCTAAAATGAGCTTTAAGAAGCAAAAGGGTGCCAATTGTATAATTTAACCATTAAATGGATTATTTATTGAAGAGCATTCAAAGTAGCCACGAAAACAATTAGAATGCTCGCGCGGAGTTACGCGGAGGTATTATAAAAGAACGCACCCTTTATTACATTTTATGTTGTACGAGGGTTTTACCCAATTTCCGAACCGTGTTAGAGTGAACCCGTGGTATAAAAACATCGTGTTATACGGAGGATGTTCCCACTTCTCGAACCGTGTTAGAGTGGATCCGCGCTATAGAAGTTCCGNTAAGCTACTGAACATTTTTTTTATCGAAATTAACAATGAACAAAGGCAAAAATTTAAAAAGTTTTCTTTTTCTAACACTTACGTGTTTCCCGGTAATTACGGTCTTAGTCGTGTAAAATTTTAACACACAGGATGACTTACTTTTTTATGTGACTACCGTTTTTATTAACACTGTCTTTTTCTAGCGACAGTAGTTAAAACTATAGCTGAGTATAACCAATTTTTCACGACTACACGAATTATTTTTTGTTTCGTTTAGTACTGTTTTCTTTTAGTAAAAGTACTCTGTTCTGAAAACGTTCACGAAAACGAACATTATTTTCAAACGGAGTATATTTATTTATCTAAAAAATATAAATATCAAATTATTTCTGTGTAGACATAGCAGTAGGAGTTTCTCTGCATTCTCAGACTACAAACGATCAAGAATATGTCTCCGCAATACACAGGTATGGAAAATTCAATTCCAGATATATTTCTTCATATTTCAAATAATATTTACAAATGTAATATCTACATTAAATAATATAATGTCACTTTTTATCTAATGAAAATTTTAGTGTTAGTGTCTATGTCGGTAGAAACAATACGAAACATTCGAAATTTTGATTGTTTATCAATTAACCGAATATTAATAGTTTGTACATTATAAATGAAGTGTTTTTGCTATACGTACTGATCGTAATAAAGAGTTGTTAGAATAATGTGTAGAGAGAAGTATCGCGTTTCTAAGCAAATACAATGTGTTCATGAAGTATGTATAAAAGACTTTCAAATTAAATATCAGTTATAATGTTTTAATCGTAAACGTCATGTGTTTCCGACACACGATAGACAATTTGTAACATGAATGACAAATCTGTGACAGATCAACTTTCCACAAAGAATATCGTTATTGCAATAAATAACTGGTATTTATCGATCTTTGTGTTTTTCCTGTTGCCTGAGTACTATAGAAGAAGTCTTTATGATAGCGAAAACTTAATGTTTAATCATCCAATCAAAATATAAAAATATACAGTACAGCAACTTATTTTTAATATTTCTCAAAAATTAATTAATTACGATATTGAAATAACTGCAAACTTCCCAGCATTTTTTGAACAGAAAAATAAGAAAAATACTTTTACACAAATTTATGATTTAAATAAATTTTATATATTTTAAATTATTTTAATTAATTTAAGAAAATTCTATTATGTTTTTCACACGAAATATAACTTTAAATTTTATGTAGATTTAACAATAATATTAGAATAAATTTCCTTTTCATGTATTAATAATTTATATTAAAATTTAGAATACTGAAATATTTTCCTCAATGGCTATTAAATCCAATTTACTGGCTATCTCCAATTTTCTTCATGAGTAAAATAGGAAAAAATTACAAGAGGGACGTTGAAATAATTCATCGTTTCGACGAAGAGGTAAACCAAACTTGTGAATGAAATGTTGTGGTATGATTTAAGTAATTAATGATTTAATTTAATGCGTAGGTGTTCAAGAGAAAAAAAGAAAATTTTGTGAAAAGAATGCAGCAGCAAAACTCCTTATACAAAGATGCAGGACATGAAGAAGAACCAAAGTTTAAAACAAAACAGCGTATTATAGATGCATTGTTGGATCTTCATGTCAAACAAGGTTTAATATCGGAAGAAGACGTTATCAGAGATATGGAAGGCGCTATTTTTGCGGTAGATATAATTTATTTAATGTCTAACCGAAAATAATTACACAATCGTGCACGCATGTATTTTAATAATATTATTTTCATTATTCTGAAGTAATTTTTTTAAACAACGTATTGAATTATAAGTAATTTCGCAAAGAGTTATCTCGGCGACAAAAATTATAATTAAAGTATAACGTAAAACCTATTTTAAAAATAATCATAATTATTTTCTTCTAATTAGAAATTGTATTTTATTTAAGATGTTTGTGAAATTATTGTATTTCATTCATAAATAATATTTGTAATTTCTTATTAACTTATAAATTTTTAACTTTTAAAAATTTGTAGTTTTGAACTTTCTCCTTTTGTATTTATACAATATAAAATGTCACAGAAAGAAATTTTGGATATAAAACAAGAAGTTTATTAATTACTGTATATTTGCTCTATTTATATACAGGGAGGGAAGGTATAATTTTGAACAATTAAACATTTGGATCTACTAGTGATTTTTAAACATTATTATTATGATTATTATAAATAATTAATGCGGGAAAATCAGGTGAAATGGATAATCGTACTTTATTTGTTCGACTTCATATCGAATGCGGTTTCTCTAATGATCATGTAAAATAGTAGTTTGTAAATTTGTGACTCAGTTCTATGGGTTATTCTCTGCTATTAAATTATTTTTTCGAGTATTAATTAATCAAATTCCTTTTATAAACACAATTGAAAGTATTCAAAGCAAGTAATGTCTGAGATGATGACCGAAATAATTCAACTCCATAAAAACAGAATAATCGAAAATGTAAATATACTTCGTTACATTACGACATGTATCGGATTGTCGTAAGTCAAGACAATTGAAGATGTGTATTTAGTTTTTTCGTTCGACTAATTACACAGTTTGTGGACAGTTTAACGTTTATTTCGTCCAACGATCGAAGACAGTTTGTTCATAGAATCAATCTGATAATATCGAATGTGGGGGAAATGAATTTTTAGTTTCATTGAGGAACTGAAACTTCGTTTGCAAAGGCGTACATGTATAATATTCTAGTCTGTTAACAGTGTTAAAATGATAAACAGAATTGTTATAATAAATTATTTAGACATCTTAATAACTTTTTTTTGTATACTCTCTCCATTTACGTCGTATTTTCATCTCTGTTGCTATGTACTGTATAGTACATTACTAAGCACTTCACTTCTTTAAAATTAAGCCTAATCTCTAATAATTACGTTTTCCGCGGAAGTAATAGTTGGAACCATCCTCCCTTTTACTAATATTATTTTTGGCTTCATCGATAAATGCCTGTATTTCGGAAGAAGTGAAATGACGCTTTTTTTTTCTCTCTTTTTTTCACCGAAATTTATGCGAATACAACTGGAGCCATTTGAAAGTTTCTAGACTGTTTTCTTATTGGAAAAAGCAGTAAACTCTCTAAATCCGATTATTGGTATTTTGCCGTAAATAGTATGAAGAACTATGTAAACTAATTGCTGCAAGGAATGTGGTTGTGCATTGTAAACTGGTATGTCAGGAATATAAAAGAAGAGAGGTATTCGTGCGTGCCATATCTTAATTTTACAAGTTTATTATACAGTACTTATTTTACTGCAAGTGTAAATTATATAGGAGACAATTTTACATTTTTTTCAACGTATTTTAATATCAGGGTTACGATACAACCGCCCACGCCATGTCATGGACTCTCTATTTCCTGGGAAGATTCCACGAAATACAAGAGAAAGTGTATCTAGAATTGCAAGAAATTTTCGAAAATGATATGAATAGGGATATTACTATCGATGACCTGACGAAGATGACATACTTAGAATGCGTAATTAAGGTAACTCCTTAGTTTATTTAATACATTCAAGGATTAATTTTAAACTTATACATTACAATTTTCAGGAGTCGATGAGAATCTATCCTCCTTTACCTTTTATTGCAAGAAAAACTCCTTCAGAAATGAAAATAGGTAACTTTGATATCTTGAAATTTGTTTCTAAATAACAATATTTTGTATTAGTTACAGTAGAGCATAGTTTATCCGAAAGTCGATTATCCGAAACGTCGGTTATCTGAAAAGAATTCCAGTTGGCAAATTTAAATTTTCGCTAGTGCTCTGGCGCTGCAGTCTTTGGCTATATCTTGAAATACTCCAATATTTTTTTGTTGATGTGTGGTGTTTTAGCTGGCAGCACTGGCACTTTTGTGTGGTGTTCTTTTTTAGGACTGTGTGTCATGCTCAATAGAACGTTTTTGATACTAGATTAACTTCTAAAAATATTTTTTTTTTTTGTTTTTATATTTTTCAATATATTTATTTTGCTTGTAAAAATAAAGAAATAATTTTTAACGATACAATAGCCACGATTACTATTTTAAAGAGTTTACGTTAGACTTAACATCGACGAAAATTCAACGCGAAGCGACACGCAACGGAGAAAAATTTCAACACGAGATAAGTTAAGTGTTGTAACGAATAGTATATTCGGCCTCAGGCCGAATACCGAATATTCGGCAAAGAGCGTGGCCGAATAGCCGAATATTCGGCCAAACTATTCGGTTGATTAACGCACATACGAAAATTGGCGCGCAAACCGCATTACGGCAAGGATCCTGCTCTCTATTGGCCCACTGTCACTACGCTTCGCCAATCGCGTTAATTCTTGACAGTTCAGACAAGAGCGTTATGGCAGTATGTGATAAGTAATGATATCAAACGTGGACAACAAAGAAATGACCTACACGTGTAAATAACGGAAGAAAAACAGAGAAGAACCGCAAAGTGAAACTGCGAAAATAAATATGAAATTGAGTTGATAACATAATCGAACAAGTCGAGGCAAATTACTAGCTCGAAATTTGATGCCGTGAATGCCAAACAATTGTTGTCATAGATTTTAGAATACTAAAGTCTTGTAAAGAAAGTCACTTAGCGTGCACGGGAGAAAGCCTGGGGCCGTTCGGGCTATCAAGCTGTCTCGAATCTGTGAAATCATAACTGTGACTTATATCGACGTCCTATCTGTCTCTTTTCTCCGTTATCACCAGGCTGAGTCACGTAATTGTAAAATGGGAACTCTACGACGGAAAAGTGACGAATCGAAAGTATCGTGAGCGCGTATTATGATGTATGCACAGGCATACGTGAATTAGAGCGATAGAGGAAAGAGAAAAGGAAGAGCAGAGACGAGCGCTTGAAAAGAAGGATAGGCAGGGTCAGACCCTCAGATGTGCAAGGATTCTCCAACGATAGACGTGTACGTGTGCCTATCTTTGTAATTATAAATTGTGAATACATGTGATTAATATTATTTTCTTTTTTTATTTTGTGCATGTTACAAGTTATAAATAAATAAATATAAACAAACAACACTAACTCGATAACATTAAATCTAAATAGCAAAACGATTAATTTACTGTGTTTTTGTTATTTATTACTCCTGTTTTTAGGTATTCGGTATTCGGCCGAATAGTGATTAAATATTCGGTATTCGGCCGAATAGTGAAAAATAAGCCGAATAGGCCGAATACCGAATAATAACCGAATATTCGTTACATCACTAGTTAATATATTTTTTTGTACATAATCGGTTATCGAAAAAATAAGTTATCCGAACAACTCCAGTCCCCAATTGATTCGGATAAACGACGCTCTACTGTATTGACTCAAAGCATTAAATCGTTGTCATTCGAATAGGTAATTACCTGTTGCCTGCAAATTCTTCTCTTATCATAAGTATCTATGGCATCCATCATAATCCTACTGTTTACGATAATCCCGAAGTGTTCGATCCAGACCGTTTTCTACCTGAAAACTATAAAAATCTTCATCCTTATGCATTTCTGGCATTTTCTGCTGGTTCACGAAATTGTCTCGGTAAGTGATTAGTGAATAAATACAAAAACAAAAAAAAATTATTTTATTAAAATTACTTAAATTTACAGGAAATAAACTTGCCATGATTAAAATGAAAATGGTTTTGGCAAATGTTCTTCGTAATTTTAAAGTTTACTCTTTGGATCCTCAGGATAAAATTGTTAGTTCATTGGATATTATGTTGATTCCAATATCAGGTATAAGAATGCGTGTAGAAAAAAGATGTATGTTGTAAAATATGAAATAACCTGAACGTTGGAATAATTTTTATTACAAATTATATAAACATAAGCCTATATCATATAATTTAGACGAGTGCATTTAAAAACTGTATCGAAATGATTCTACTTATTATTAAACTTTATTCATAAATTGTAATCCATATTTTTATAGATAAAAGTGATGAGAATAAAATGTATTATAATTATTGTTATTAAATCTGCTTTACAATAATACTATTTTTCGCTGTTTGTTAAATTTTATTTATTTATCACATTTATAATTTCTCATATTTAAGTTTACGTAAATTAATCTGTTGTTAACGATCTGTTTTTGTTTATCTGTGTTGTATAAAATGGGCCAAACATACATGATTCAGTTAATTATGCGTTGAATACAAAATATTTGTATTTTATTTTAGTATTTTTCTGATAGGCCGATAGTTTTAATAGTTAATGCTGTTAATTTTTCGTATTTAAATTGCTTTTCGTGTCAATTTCTTATCACGATTTTAGTTTATATGCAAAAAATTTTTGACATTCATTAGAATTAGCCGTGACTGACTTTTAAATTCTTACAATATTTATGTTTGTGCAAGTTTGCAATTTTTCAAAATATTTTAAATATCAATACATCCATAAAATAGCAACAAGAGATTAGTCATACACTGTTAAACCTTTTATTTATACTACAGTAGATGGCCAGTATATTAAAAGAAATAACTAATTTGTATAAAAACATTTATAACCTTTGGAAAGTTTCCTGTTTAAATATATAAATAAATATTATAAATTTAATAAATAATTAAAAACAAGCTGAACTTTCATAATGGAAAGTAAGAAAATGTCATCAATAACATCAAAAATATAAATTTGTTTTCGAAATAATCGTGTAATGAATTGATGCATTTCTAGTGGAAAACATGCGAAAATAAAATGTAATTACAATAAACTTAAATACAGTAAATGTAAACTACTTTAAATTATTTTTTTCAGTTTTAAAGATAGGACAAATAGGAGCCGTATTAATATATTACGACTGAATTTTAGTGGTTTGCGAATAATATAAATGCTGCAATAATAACCGTTTTGTTGGGATGTAATAATTTTCTATTTATGCTTATTATGTAAAACAATAAGCATTGCGAATTGCTAATCAGTATCAGAGTTTTACGATACGTAATTAATAATCTTTCAATAAGAGTCTAATATCCCACTATAGGAAATCAGATGTGCCGTCATTATCTATTTTCTTGCGGTTGGAAGGTTTAAATCAGAATTCAGAGTATTTATCGAACGGTTTGATTTCAGAGTTTATCGCACTCTATGTATGTTTTTATCGCACATAATAATTTACTAATTATTATTTTAATTACAGTTACGTTTATAGAAATTTAATATGAAAACGATACTTATTCCGGAAAATAATAATGCGATGCTTCAGTTTCTCTTACTTACTTGTTATAAACGTAGTATATTTTTATATAACTTATATTTTTTACTACTGATAGTCTGTTTTACAAGAAGCTTAAAGGCTTCAAACAGGATGAACGAAATTATGCCCCCACACACAGTCTAACATCCACACATATAGAAAAAATCTCGAATCTTTTGCATATCTCGAAATTTCGAGGTGTCCCGAGTCCAAAAATGTAAAAATTTGG